CTTAAAAGGCTATATGGTGGCACCTCAGTGCCTTACGCCAGCACGTTTTGTTGGGTAGTCTGCGTGGTCATGGGACTGTACACCTGCCGCTTGTCTTTCTGGGATGACCGTTGTGTACCAACAAATTCATACATTACACAAAAACACCATTTTTACACTTGTTACTCAACGTCAGGGCAGTCTCCGCGGGTGGGACTGAGGGAGAGTGGTGACTTTCGGCTGGTGCGAGCAAGTAGCGGTCCTCCATGGCAACAGATAGGCCCTGGTTTTAACCCTCTACAAATACTTATTTCTAGAAAAAGGGTAGTGCTGGCCTTCGCGGGTCAGTACGACATTAAAAAAGATGCTAAAATGAAAAACGTCGATGCAAAACTTGTACTTTAGGCGGTAACCTCTCTGAGGGAATTCACCGGCAGTTCAGATCCTGTGAAAGCCCGGGTGACTGTCACAGGCCCCACGGACTTTGGGGGGGGGGGGCACGATGATGTGGCATAAGCCATCAAGGACTGCTTAATGTTTTATGGCGCTCTTTAGCGGACAAAGGACGAAGAGGAAGCCTGTCGAGCATAGGCACCATCGATACTAAGGACAGCAATGTGTTGGTATTTAGCCACCAGACCCAGGAGGAGCTTGCCTCCTTAGAAGGAGGTGGTGCTAAGCTCAGAGTTAAGCGACAGCAAGTGGCTGATAAAGTCTAATCATCAATGAAAGATTATACAGAGACGCTGCATAATTTAACGGTAAGTATGGCAACACAGCAATCGCTGTTAAGAATAGGCTTAAAGCCGCGCTTCAACAAGAGGCAGAGGTGCTTAGAAAAGGCTTTCTTTATGAAGAAAAAGTTTATGCAAACACTTGGAAGTTGTCACTCAAATTCCTGCAGTAGAGGGAACAAAGGAGAGATAATTTCCGTCGGCATGTACAGAAAAGAACCCTGAACACTGCCCTTAAGGAAATAGAACGGAGTAAAAGTAACAGGAGCCCATCGGACAGCCCTGAGAAACGCCAGCAAACCATGCCCATAAAGAAAAAGAAAACAGGCAGTGGCAAACTAGAAGAAATTCTCCTCAATGAAAAAACAAGCCAGAAGAAAAAAGTTAATGTGACAACAACAGTAGTAGTGAAAATAGCCGAAGGGCAGACCTTTGCAAAGGTGCTAAGGACGATGAAGGCAGACTTTGACCCTGATAAGGCTAATATGGCAGTCCAAAGTGTTGTCACTACAAAAGAAGGAGACATACTTATCAAGGCCAAAGGTGTCGAGAATGCTATTGCATTTTCACAGCAAATTGAAAAGTTGGTAGCCAGACAGAATACTGTCAAAATGAGCAACAAAAAAGTGACATTAGAGGTCCGAGATCTGGATGCTATTGTAGAGGAAGATGAGGTCAAAGAGGCTTTTGCTAGGACTTTTGAACTTAAGAGCCAGGAGCCAGAAGTAGCTTTTTTAAAGCCAAATGCCAGAGGATAGAGGCTGGCTTTAATCAAGGTGGACGAAGCAACTGCCAGACAAGTATAAGAGAAAGGCAGGTTACGAGTTGGCTTTGTAAGCTGCCGAATACGAAGAAGAATGGAAGTAACAAGATGTTACAAATGCCTGGGATATGGACACGTTTCAGGCAACTGTTGAGAAGAAAACAGATTATAGCTCTGCTTCCAGTGTGGAAGCTCAAACAACTGAAAAAAAGAGTGTCCAGGCCCATCACAGTGCTTTCTTTGCTCAACGACGGACAACAAGCACGAAGCAGGCAGTGAAAGCTGCCCTATATTTAAAAAAGCGCTAGAAAAGGCTAGGGGTAAGGCCTAAGCAGGATGAAAATAAGGCAAGAAAACCTTGAGTTAAAAAGCAGGCTAGTTTACCTAGTTTACTATTTCTAGGAACTCCTAAAAAATAGTCCCTAGCCGAGGGTAGAAGTCTGGCCGTGTTTGCCGTGCGGTGTTACCCCTGAGCGGCCAAAGGAAGATCCTGGGCAGTAAGGCGTCGCCTAGGCTGCGTGCCGAAGTGACCCAAGCTGACTTTGGCTTCTGCTGACTGCAAGACGGGAGGCCGGATCCTTAACCAGGTCCGGTCAATCGGCTATCACTGGGGCGGTTGCGGGCGGGTCCGGGCTGGTCGTGCTGCTGCTGGGGTCTTGTTGGCTTGGTGGGGGCTGTTTGGGCTGGGTGGAGGTGGAGGCGTGGCAGTTTTTTCTTGGCTTCTGAGTCCTTTCCGGCTTTGCGGTTCCTTGTTGCGCTGGTGGGATTGCTGTCGTGGCGTTGCTGGCTTGCTGTGCAAAGTATGCCGAGGTCCTGGCCCTAATGAAGAAGGTCGACGTTGCCGGGCTCGGGGTAAGCGTGGGATTTGTCAGGGAGACGAGAACAGGAGGTGTCCTTGTCGAACTGAGAAATACTGTGTCCGAGCACCGCGATGCGTTCGCCGAGGTAATTAAAAGTGCCGTGGCGGATGCGGGTGGTGTGAGGACACTGGCCCCACGTTTGACCTGAGAGATCAGGGACGTCGACCCAACGGTGACAAAGGAGGACGTCGAGGCAGCAGTAAAAGGCTGCTTTGATGGAGGCGCGTCCTCTAGTATGGCTGTGCAGTTATCCTCTGGAACGAACAGAGGAAACCGCATAGCCTACGTCGACGTACCTGCGATGGTGGCCCCGATTTTTGGAAAAAGGGACCACATTAGGCTGGGTTAGGTGAACTGCAGTATTTGCTAAAAGCTTACGGGTGAGCGTTGCTTCAGGTGGCTGGGCTTTGGGCATATTGCGAGGCAGCGTGTTGGACCTGTCAATACTGGGGCGTGCTGGAGGTGTGCCGAAAAGGGTCACGTGGCACGAAACTGCTTTAAAAAAGGAGTGAGCTGTTTTCTGTGCGAAAGCGTGATCCTAAAATCGGACACCAGACATGTCGCTGGGACTGCCGGGTGTCGGGCGCCTCGGACGCCTGCAGGGACGGCTCGGCGGAAATGGACGTGATTCTGCAGGTAAACCTGAATAGGACCGTGCTCGCGCACGATCTGCTGGACCAGTTTTTCCGTGCCCAGGGTGTGGATATGCTCATTATAAATGAGCCATCCTGCACGTGACCGGGCCAAGGCTGGTACTGCGACAGGACAAGAGGCGCAGCCATTCTGATTCGCAGCGACAAGTTCTCTGTATCCGATACTGGAGGTAAAGTCGGATTCGTGTGGAAGTGCTTTCTGTGTAAGTTTCTACATATCCCCTAATATTTTGATTGGTGTCTTTAGAGAGCGGCTTGCCGAACTCGAGGATGCCGTAAGAGTGTGCAGGAAAAGAGGCGATGTAGTCCTTGCCAGCGACTTAAACTCCAAGGCCATCGATTGTGGGAGCCAAGAACCGACCCCAGAGGATGGGCGGTGCTAAAGATGGCTGCAAGGCTGGATCTCATCGTCAAAACTCTGGTGGAACAGCAACGTTCAGGCGACCTGGTAACCGGGGAACGATCATCAATCTTACGCTGGTGTCGTCAGAAATGGCGGCGCGAGTGTCTGACTGGTAAGTCCTGGAGGACTACACAACCGGTTATCACCAGTATGTCAGCTTCGTGATACACGAGGATCGGGGTGCAGGCTCGCAAGATATAATCCGAAGGTGCGTTGCTAGGTAGAACGTGGCAAAACTTAACCGAGATTTGCTGCTGGTAGCCATGGTCATCGCGCCACCTCCAGCTGATTTGAACAAGATCACAAATCCAGTGGAGGCCGAGACACTCGTGAGCAGCACTACGAGACGGGTCAAGGAATGGTGTAACGCGTGTATGCCTAAAAGGCCAACCAGTAGAGGTCGACGTTCGTGCTACTGGTAGATCAAGGACATTGCTAACTTGTGCAGGGAGGCGCAGCATCTACGGCGTCTTGCACAGCGACACAGAACTCGCGAAGGCGCTGGGGTAGCTGTTGCCGCGCACAGGGAAGCAAAAAAAGCGTTGGTGAGGGCGATCAAGGTGAGAAAGAACCGATGCTGGGGCGAGCTCATCGCCAAGGTGGATAAAAACACGTGGGGCCTGGGCTACCGGATCGCGTTAAAAAGACTTTGCAGTTCAGACCCAAAGCCGCCGATGGAACCTTCCTTCTTGGAGAGAGTGGTCTCTTGCCCCTTTCCGGAGCATCCTGCCAGGAGGTAAGAGGACACAAGTGTAGGACAGGTACCTCTCTTCACTCTCGAGAAATTGAGGTCGGTGGCATCGGAGATGCCAGGGCATAAGGCCCTCGGTCCAGACGGGTGCCATCCGAAGTCCTGAAGATCATAGCTGCGGAGAAGCCACACGTTTTGTTTGACATCTTTAACGCGTGCCGTCGCGTAGGACTGTTCAGCAAGCGGTGAAAGATCCAAAGACTTGTTCTTCAGGACATGGGCAAACTACCCCCCCCCCTGGTCCCTTCCTCATTCCGACCCTTAGGTATGTTGAACAATGCTGGAAAAATGCTAGAAAGGCTGATAAGAACCCGTCTGAGAGGGGAAGTCAGCCTATCAGAAAATTAGTACGGGTTTCGAAAGGGGCGATCGACGTTCATGGCTGTGGCTGAGGTTCTCGAGTCGGTCAAGGAGGCATTGAAATCCTCTCATAAGACGAGGAGCGTCTTCACCTAGCGACTCTCGACGTAAAGAATTCCTTCAATTTGGCAAAATGGTCCGACATGATGAGGACCCTAAAGCACTAGAATGTACCGGACTACCTGAGAAAGATCCTGGACAGTTACCTCCAGGATCGAGTACTCCGGTACGACACGAAAAATGGACTAAGAGAGAGGTGTCTGACGTCGGGTGTGGCACAGGGATCTGCCCTTGTCCCCGATCTCTGGAACCTGGTCTATGACGAACTTTTGCGTCTTGAAATGCCTCCGGGGGTCAAGCTGACGGGCTTTGCTGACGACATAGCATTGCACGTCATAGCTAGATTGCGAGAGGAGGCCGAGCGCAAAATACGGTGGGCGGTCACGATAGCGTTGGAATAGCTCCGGAACCATGGTTTTGAGCTAGCTGTAGGAAAAATGGAGTTGGTCATCCTCGCCAGGCAGAGAGGGTTCGGGGAAAACTTTCGCCTGAGCGTTGCAGGTGAGGTAATCTGCTCGAGACTGGTGGTGCGCTACCTTGGAATGTGGATTGATTCACAACTCACATTCGGGGAGCACATCAGGAGAGCAGCCGATGAAGCCGCTGGGGTCTCTAGGATGCTTTTACGGTTAATGCCGAATGTTGGAGGTCCGCGGGAAGTTAAAAGGCGGCTCCTTGCGTCGGTCTTCAACTCGATCCTGCTGTATGGCACGGAGGTATGGGTTGATGCATTCGCGAGGAAGGATGTCCGAGAGCGCTTAACTTTGGTTCAGCGTATCGGGTCCATTAGAATCGCATTTTCCTACCGCACGGTCTCCTCTGCTGCTGCTATTGTGATAGCACAAACGATTTTCGTCGTGTTGCTTGCGCGGGAGCGGCGAAGGAAATTTCTGGGCTCCAGCGACGAAAGTGATAGCGACAGGCACGAAGAAACGTTGATGACGTGGCAACAGGAATGGGGTCAGAGTGTTGTGGGTAGATGGATGCAATGCCTGCTTCCGCACCTACGGCCATGGGAAGAAAGAGGGCATGGAGAGGTAAACTATCACCTCACCCAGTTTCTCTTTGGGCTTGGTCAGTTCGATGCCTATCTCCACCACATGGCGGTGAAGGCATTACCTAGGTGTTCTTACTGCCCTGCTTTGGATGATACCTTCGAATATACGTTTTTCGTGTGTGAGAGATGGCACCGTGAGCGCCAGCAGCTGGTGGACAAGATCAGCGTGGCACCCACTTCTGAAACTATTATCTTGGAGATGCTAAGCAGCTAAGAGGGGTGGCTGGCAGTGGATGGCTTCGTCGGGATAGTCCTTCTGCAGAAGAATGAAGAGGAGAGAGCTGCTGCACAGGTAGTGGGGGAGCCCTAAGTAGTTTGATGTGGACCCAATTTGCGCTAAGTATTTATACTCATCAACAAGGGAAAGCATTAATTAAGCGCTAGAATACGGGTGCCAGTCCTCAGGGACCCCGAGTCCTTTTTAGGACTTGAGAGCATAAGCACCTCTAGCAAATGGTGGCAAGTTAGCTTGTTAATGCTGTGAGACGCGATGGTCTTCCTGGTGGCTCCACCCTGAAGTAATGCTAACGTTGTTTCAGGGTGGATCAAAAGCCACGCGGCATGGGGGGGGGGTTTAGTGGATATTGGTGGTCTAATAAAAAAATCCACTGAGTCCCACACTACCGCTGCCCCTGTGGTGTGCCTCAATGCATTTTGCCTTCCTCCACAAAAAAAACAACAACAACAACAACAACAACAACAACAACAACAGAAAGAACAACAACAATAGCAACAACAACTGCCGAAATAATTCAGTAAAGGTTGGCAGTCTTGAGAGGCAGTGGATGCAGCATATAGGGAGCCAGTGCCGCGGAGAATGGCCATGGACTGCAAGAGCCTCAGGCACCGACGTCGACGTTGNCAAAATAAAAATAATAATAATAGCAACAGTAACATTAATAGTAATAATAATCTTATAATCATAAGCTATAATAGCAACGGCCACTGTTACTACTGTTTAAGTACTAGTGCTTGTTGATATACCGTAACACACTGACTGTTTATTCATTCGAGCAATAAATTAAAATGTTAAGCGGTTTCCACCACTTTTTTTGCAACAAGTACAATTGAATAAACGAACTTCATGTAGCATTAGTAAGTATTAATAGTATTCTATTTTAATGTTAATATTCAGTTACAATGAAATCCTGCGAAATTTGGATGTAAAAGAGAAAGGAAGGGCAGGAGTAAGTGAATCACTTTTTTTTCTTCTGACGCGTGTAGGATAGCAAGCTGGATGTGGGAAGTGCCAATTTCTGAGTGGCTGAACTAGAGCAGCTCTAGCCAATTAAATTTTTGGCTATTGTCATTTCTGCAAGATCTTTCCCTGGAAAGTTTTCCAATGTCATTCTCGAACCAGTGCATGACTGAGGTCCGCTACTTCCTAAGTCAATGTTCCTATTCGTGGAATGGGTCCCTATTCATGGAACATGAAAATTCATGTATTCGTTATACAACTAACTTGATAAAAAAGTTGTGGTAGTTGTATATTTTATGTATTTTTATGAATTCACTAGAAAAATTTGATTCCACATACAATAAATAAAAAATTTTAAAGATAATTTCATAAATAGGGACAGAGTCGGACATAACCTATTTTTTGAACTGTACGTATTATGACACCAAACTTCAACGAGGAATTTATATACTTTCTAGTCAACAAATAAACGATATAATTATTTTTGTTAAATAAAAACTGTTATGCAAGTGAAAAAAGCTTTAACTGTCTGAAAATATTATAATGAATTTACGTTTTTTAAAAATTTTCATAAATAGTGACATAATATGAAACAATAGGTACAACGTTTCATAATTATGTACATTTTGGTCTT